AATATACTTGTGACAACATCTGGAGAAGCCTCTGATTCCCGATGCCTACGCATAGCATAAAATCTGCTGGGTTCTCTCGAACTATGTGCACTACCCTAGCTGCACCATGCCCTGCGAGTGCTTGGGTGCCTCGAGATGGATGAGGTGCTATGGATGTAGTAGCTGCAGAACTAGCTGGCTTTGCCGCACCTATGCCTATGATCCGGCGGGACAAGCAGAAATCCCTCTTAATATGACCCCTCATACCGCACCCGTAGCATATAGGTAGGTCCATGAAGAAGGCCCCAAAGTGCATCCTCCCACACTTAGGGCATGGGGGCCTCCGCTGCTAGTAGAAGCTCCCTCCAGGACGACCCTGCTGGTGGGATCTCCTGTTGCCCTGACTGGGCCCGGATGGCTGTGCACTCATCAAACACTGAGGGAATGACTGAGATGGACCTGATGACCCTCCCCTAAATGCTGACCTACCACCACCAGAAGAACCACCCAAGTTGCCCGTGGTCGTGCCTTGCTGCTACCCTTACACTCCCTTCTATTTTTCTGCTTACATTCCTCTGTAGCTTGAGCAAACGCCACCATCTTCCAATAATTCATATCAGAATTCAAGGCAGCTGTAGCGGCCTCATTAATAACCAAGGGGCTAAGACCCTGCACAAACCGGCGCACTCTAGCCTCCATAGTGGGCAACATGTGAATAGCATACTTGGACAGACGCCCGAACTCCATATGGTACTCCCACATATTCATGCTACCTTTCTTCACGCTCTCAAACTTAGCGGCACGGGCCGCTTTAGTATCGGTAGGCAAGAAATGATCCATAAATGCATCGGTGAACTTACTCCACCTCGCTGGAGGGCTCCCCTCCTCACGGGACTCCTCCCATATCTCAAACCAAGAATAGGCCACCCCTTTCAGGTGGTAGGAGGCTAACTCCACGCCCTCTGTCTCAGTAGTATGCATAACTCAGAGAGTCTTGTGTATCTCATCAATGATGTTTTGGGGGTCCTCCTCAGGATCAGTACCTGTGAACACTAGAGGATCCAACTGGAGAAACCTGCCCACCGTAGAACTAGCGGAATCCCCTGGCTGACTAGAAGAAGTGGGTGCAACGTTTGATCTCTAGGCTTAAGAGGCCACTATTTAAGCCAACATTTGTATGGCTCCCCTAAGATCCCTATTAGAAAGACCTGGACCGGAAGCTGGAGCTGGGGATGGAACTGGAATATCAGTTGGAGGGATCGTTGCACCTTCAGTAGGTGTAGGAACTGGTGCAGTCGGAGCAGGAATAGTAGATTCAGGCGGTGAAGTAATTGGGGGAATATCCTTACCCCTCGGGTGCTCACCCGCATCATCAAATATGGAATCAACTGCCACTCCTGGGTGACATTGGCTCTTTGGCCAGTTCTTGCATTCTTCCTATGCGCCATGTACTAAAAGTTAGATCAAAGCATGATTTAAAGGAGGAACAATCTTACAATCAGCTTTATCGCACGATCGAGAACATCAAAGAAGGGTATTATTCCTAAATGCCGAAGTATCCTCCTAATTATAGGTGTGGTCGACAACACACCAATAAGAAGGACTCTACTAGACATGGCTCCGAGACATCCTAGGACACTTTAAAACCTTAGGCTCTGATACTAAGTTTGTCATGCCCTGACTTGGGGGAGCGCGACCGGTGCTCCACCCAACTCACCCAAGAATAAAGAGGAGAGTACCTTTCATTAATTTGACATTAATATGTCATGAGAATATCACCATTTCATTTTTATTAGTTACGCCATTACAACAATTTTAGTTTAACCTTCCCAAGAACAGATACAACCCACACTATGTCTACGGAGCCTCTAACAGAAACAAAAGAGTACTACGACAGTGCCCGCAACAAGGCTCCGGCTATACCTCAAAACACTATGTACATGGAACAAGAGATACAGGACCCCAGAATGAAGTGGGGCTCACCAAGTCAGCTGAGGAGAGGGGGTGCTGCTATCACTGGTCAATACCACCTGCTATGGAACCACTTGCATCCATTAAAGATGCAGGGCCCCCGGCAAAAGGACGTTAGTACATGTTGAATAGTACTAGTACGAAAACCAAACACCTATGTAAGGACTTGGAAATACAGCATGAATAAGATGAATCATGGTAACAATAAAAGGCTTAGTTAGCCACTAAATCCATAGCAAATTTATTAAGAGCTTTCAATAATATTTATAAATTCATAAGTCTAGGATCCTCTACAACTACCTTTAGATAAAAGCAGCCCTGCCGCCTCACCCCAACGTATGCGGGTGGAGGTGTAATCACAATACCAGAAACTCTACACAAAGCGGCCCTGCCGCCTCACCCCAAGGTATGCGGGTGGAGGTGCATTCACCATGCCACAAACTCTGCACAAAGTGGCCTTGCCGCCTCACCCCGATGTATGCGGGTGGAGGTGTATTCACAATACCACAACTCTACACAAAGCGGCCCCGCCACGTCACCCCAATGTATGCGGGTGGAGGTATATTCACAATGCCACACTTCGAATTTCCAAAACGATAATAGTTTGTACAAGAGAGTTCCCTTTTAATCAACCATGTGGCACCTTTGGCCTTAGCAAGTGTAAGTTCACAAGGTCTCATCATATGAGAAATAAATGTTTAATCACATTGATTTCTTACAAGATCTTCTTCCCAAAAAGGGGGTATAAGATAATTAAGTCAAAAATAGAGAATCATTAATACACGAGTGTACTAACACGTTATGCCAATCGGGAATCAACTTAACTAATTTGAATACCCCACATCAATAGCGTTTTAAGTTCGACTATACATGATATAATTTTGCAAGGATTCGGAAATTTTGATAGTGGAAGAAGAGTTTAGCCTTCATACCTCGCTTTGAGATTTTCTTAAATCACTACACAGTTCTGAAAATCCTTGCAACTTCAATCTATTTAGAGACATAGGAAAATTGAATACAAATTCGGAAGATATTCATAGTTTCAGCTCATTTGAGCATTTTACCAAACACTAAGTGTGCGAATTTGATTACAAGGTTCTTCCACAAGATTTCCTTCACTCCACAACTAATTCAATACTAAGAGTTTACTCATACTAGTTCAATTACCTCCCCACCATCCTCATATCTACATACATGCATAACTAACAACTCTCATACCCAAGAATCATACTCCCAATTACCCATCTTCTACCTAAACTCACAATTGAAGACTAGGGTTAGAACCTTTCCTTTTGGATAAATACCTTGTGAGTTTTCCTTGTGAATTCTCCAAGTCTTGAGCAAGAATTGATGAACAATTAGCCTAGGGTTTCCTCCTCTCTCTCTAGAACACTCTCCCTTCTCTCTAAAATATGAGATTTTCTCTTTCAAAACGAGCCCCAAGGGCTTTTAATCAAAATAGGGCCGGTAAAAAGAATTAGAAAAATGAAGCCCCGATAGAGATCTGCAGTCGCATATGCGACCGCATAGTGCTTCTGCAGTCCGCAAAATGGGCCGCATAATGGCCCTTTGAAACTGGATACCCTTTCCTCACTCTGCGACCGGTCTGCGGTACGCAAATCTATTATGCGATCGCATAATGCGCCGCAGAACTGCCCTTCGGAAATTTTTGTGCTGGGTCTGCGATAGGTTATACCGCCCGCAAAATGATTATACGGCCGCATAATGGTCCAAAAACATTGCCCAGATTTATGCCTCAGTCTGCGGCAGATCTGCGGTCCACAGATCAGTTCTACGACCGCAGCATAGGCCGCAGAAAATGCCCTGCACTTCTAAAAGTTTTCTTCAACTCTCCAACGCACTGTTCAACCCAAAAAGTCCGAATTCCTACAATCGTCAACACATAAGTCTACTTCGACACCACGAAATCTTGGATTTTAGGTAATATTTTACGGGGCCTTACATCATTTTATTCTCTGGTTTGTCTAACTCTTGGTATTCATCATCATATTATTCATATGTATAGTTGGGTAGAAAGCATCAATTAGGCTTGCTTGACTGGGATATCTCGATTGAGCGTCGGTCGCGCTCCCCAGGGTTGGGCATGACAACAATACCATCATGACATCTCTTTCTTGACCCACAAGAGACACTCGACCCGCGGCTCATATTTTAGGTGTGAATGAATATTTTCCCAAAAATATAAAAAGGAACAAGAAAATGTGTATTGATAATTGAGGTTTATAATAACCAGGTCAAATAGGTAATTTTCAAGTCAAGAATAGGGGTTCATTTAGTAAAGGCCACGCTATGGCATTTTATCATCTATCAACCACTCGTCGCAATAAAATTATTACATAGTTTATAAACCCTGAACTCTAACCTTGAACCCTAATCAACCAACCTTGATCAATAAACATTCTTAACAGTCTATTGTCAACTTTAAGTGGCATAGTCAACTTATATAAAAGTGAGCATAAACTAATGGATGAGGATTGAATTAGTTATTAAACTACATTGGACCTTACTGTAATACCCCATATCCTTGGACTAGGAACTGAACCTTCCTACATCAGTAAATTTTTCCGAATTGGCAAGAATAAGTTGTGTTCAAGTATACAGATCAAGATATTAGTGTATAAAAGGATAAAATCCCAAAATGATTCAGGGATTTAAAGTGTGAACAACGATAATTGTAAATAATGTTGTACACATTCAAGGAGGTTATAAACAATTACTATATCATATAATCATTGTAATAAGTGTTGAAGGTGTTTTGAAAGAAAATGAAGGTATAAAGAGAGCTCTAGCACAAGAGTAAAGTTAGAAGTAACACTATGGACCCGTAATTCAAATAAGTTTGCACAAACTTCAACTTCAAACATGCGTATCTTCCTTTGTATGATGAGTTAGGTGGCGAATTACCTAACACATTAAAAATATTTGAGTCTAGTTTTTAACTCAATAAATCGTTTATCAATATGACCTTAGTATAAACAGTTATGCATGTTTTACTACGGACCTGCAAAGTGCCCAAGTGCATACGGACACGTGACACATCCAAGGCTGCAGACATATAAGTCCCCCAAGTCGGTTCTATCCTCATTTTATCTAATTTTCAATTCAAGAGCAGACCATCGGAGCTCCAAATGATCTCTCTTGCTCTCCATCTTCAAGGTAAGTCAATTCCAAAGTTAAACGTGGATATCCCTCCATTGATTACATGATTCTAACACCGATCTTGCGTTGGAACATAGCAATTCAAAGGAGTTCGTCGAATGAATTCTAAGTGAAAGTTCATTGGTTGTAGTAGTAATGGTAAGAAGCCTTCTTCTAGTTATGCTTATGGATCCATATAAGGACCCATGGGACCGTGATCAAAAGCCGTGAGTTTAAGTTGTGTGGCTCGTATAATATAAGTATGTGGTTGTTTGTGTTGTTGGTTGTCCTATGTAAGATGAAGTTGGGGAGTATTGTTTTATTTGATGGAGAGGTTGTATGGTGTTTTTCTGAGTTCGGATAAAGTTGGGTGTGGAGAACACGGATGAATTGTAAGTCTCGGGAGCTCGTCACTCTCTGATTATTTGATGAATTGTTTATTTGACTAAAACATGATGTCGGTCTGTTATTGTTGATACTATTCTTCATATTTAATGTTCTTTATTGATTGAAGCTCATAGCGAAAGTATTGATTCCTCGTAGTCTTAAGGTTGAGAATCGAGGTATGTAATGCTGAACATCTCAATTTTGAAATACCTATTCGGTTTCCTAGATAAAGTATCTCGTATATATGATGTGATCTCCCGAAGGATGGAAATATATCCCATTTGTGAATTGTAGCTATTCATAGCTTATTCTAAACCAAGTACTCCAAAATTCTCTAGATTGTGTGACTATGTTAGAACTCGTAAAATAAGTTCGATAAGAACGTTATGAAATTTCCAGTTCCTACGGGGTTTAGTGATGGTGTATTTCTGCCAGAAGTTTAAATAAGTCTCTTACATGTTTTTTGAGGTTATGTTTCATATATTGAAAGGTTGGTTTTGCCCTTAGGCTTAAACGAGTTTTCTTATGTCTCGAGAGAAATGTTTTTTGTATCGAACGATACTTCATGTCTTCAAGTTTATAGATAAGAATGATTCATAAGTACGTAAGTATCCTCCATGTCATATGAGTTTCTTGTGGCCTTTGAAGCCTATCTGTCCAGACAAGTTTCTACGATTCCACTCACGTTTACGTATGTTCTTAATTTGCCTTCGAGACCTACCAGTTTCCGAAAGCCTTTCTATGACTTCACTTACTTCTAAATATGTTTCTGTTTATCCAGAATTTCGAGTAACAATTAAACTTATTTAATGGTTTCAAGAATACGTGATTTAATCCAATACTAATTGATAAACAAGGAATTAAATAGATAATCTGAATAGTAAAATAAATCAAACCAGTATTCTGGTAGTGCTTTCGACATCGATTCGAGATGGTCTCGAGGTTGGGTAACAAGAACAATAAAGAACAGAAAATAAATAGTGATGAGCAGTAATAGATAGTAAGTGAAATAGAGAAAGCAATGTATGTGTATATGTTTGTCAGTGAATAATTCTCCCTTACAAATGAATGGGGTCCCTCTTTATATAGTAGAGGAATCCTAAATAAGGTACAATTCTAATAACGGAAACAAATCCCATGATTGGCGTCAATAACCGCTTGATTCGATCTGTTCCGGGATTTTCGCCGAGATCTTCGGTCGGTTGCTAATATCTCGCCATTCCGTTATTATGCCTTACTCGAAGTCGGTCATGCTCGGTCTTGATCTTCAGCGAGCACTTCGATCTTCATGCTCCATACACTGCCATTGAGCTTGAGCTTGGTATATTACGTGCTTACTCTTGAGGCAGTTCCTCGTGCCTATGAAATCGGACATGTCCGATTTCGACCGTGTACAGATAGTCCTCGCGTTTCTTGGAATAAAATGATAAGAAACGGTTTGAGCCTTGATTTTCCGAAACCTCGATCATGACGTCGTCCTCATGACGTAAGTGACAGATATGACCGAAATGTCCCGTCGGTTTAGTTCCCCAAATCATTAATGCCTGTTAGTTACGGCCGACCACTAGCGCCACCGAACCGTCGCCGTGACCCTATAAATACCCGCTCCTTCATTGAATCAAACTTTACTTTTGCTCTAATCAAACCTCTAAGTCTTTTCACTCTTTTAGTCTCTTCCTTTTCGCCGTCTGTAGTGACACCTTCGTTAGCACCGAAACCACTCTTTTAGTCTCTTCCTTTTCGCCGTCTGTAGTGCCACCTTCGCTCTTATTTACTTATACAAATGGCGAAAACCTCAAAGACCATACCGCAGAAGGCGAAAGCTTCTTGCTCCTCTTCCCGGCCGTCCGGTGACAAGGCGCCAGTGGAGCCGCTTCCCCACGATCAAAATGTGTCGATGTACATGTGCTCGATAACAAAGAGCCACCTCGAGGCCATGAAGAGGGACTGCAACTGGGGTCCCGAGGTCGTGGTGGGAATTCCTTCTCCCGAAGAGAGCATCACCGCTTATGTGGAGAGGTTCCTAAGTATTTACACTTATCCCTTCACATTAGGTCCCCTCAACCCAGTGATTATTGATCTCTGTAAAAGATATCAGAACACCCTCGGCCAAATCCACCCCTCTCTATGGCGCATAGTAATCATGCTGCGCTTCTTCTCTAGCGAGCCCGAGGGGCTAGAGTTTACTTTAAATCATCTCATGCGATTGTACTGGCCTCGAATCTATCGAGGACTAATCAGGCTCCAACGCCGGGCAACGAAGGCCTTGTTCTCGAGCATCGACGAGGACAAGGATAGGGGTTGGATGAGCCATTTTATATGGGTGAGGACCCATGACATTATCCCCGAAGAGAAGATGCCATTCCTTGAGGAGTGGAACTTCGACCGTAAGTGATCTTTTAAACTTTGTTCTTCGTACCTTCTTCGACTTCGCCTGATATCCCCTTTCGACATGTAGCTATTCCTTGGATGTCTCAAGCGGTACCTGACCTCGAAGATTGGGTTCGAAAGTTAGCCTCAACTTCCACTTATGCCGAACGCACATGGTGTGATTTGGCAAGGGGCAGATGGGAGGCCAAGAACCACGGTAAGGATCTCCTTTTTCATGTTCTGAAACACTTTTTGTACTTTATTCGTCACTAATTTTCTTTCATGCAGGCCTGACCAAGCCTAATTTTCTTCCAACTTTTCTTGAGGAGGCACTAAGAGAGGCTCGAGAGTTGAAGACCCCTGATATAGGCAGAAGCTCTAGTGTAGGGGATCCCTTTCGGGACTTCTTTACTGGAGTCGATGATGCCTCTGATATCAGTGACGCTTCTATCCTTTTAGAAGAGGCCCAACGTCTCTTATCTAGGGTAAGAATCAGTTTACTGTACTTCTTTTCTTTACTCTTTTTTCTCTAAATCTGACTTGTGTTTTCCTTTTTTGTATAGGCCTTCACCAAGTTTTGAGCTGACCATAGCCAGTGTGAAACCGAGCTCCAAAAGGTCTCGGATGAGAGGAACACTCTGAAGCTTCTTTGCGGCCAAAATGACAAAACTATAAAGGACCTTCAAACGGATTTGGCCAAGGCTCGTGAGGAAGAGGCCGAGCTAGATAAGCAGGTGCGCATCCTTTTGATAAAGTATGGACTCGGCCCAACTATGGAGGCTAATACATCATTATCTCAGCTGCAACGAAAGGTTGAAAGGATCGAGATGCTTCGGGGAAAAGTCGATCAGGTCAAGGCCAATTGTGATCGCTGGAAGGAGAATATGGACCACCTGGCTGTGGAAAAAGAAACTACCTTGGCCAAATTGTCATCGGCCCAGGTTCAACTTCGGGGCCTGAAAGAGAAAAGCTCGGCCCAAGCCAAGAGGATTGAGGAGCTTGAAACCGGGCTTGCTGAGGCCAAGGCGGAGATCGAGAAGACAAAGGGCATGGCGGACAAGACCATTGCTATGTACCGGGCCGATGCTGAGGCTGCTCAAATGCAGCTAAGGGAGGCTTCTGACCGAGAGCGATGGATCAATGACTCGACTAGGTGTTAATCCCGGAGATAAACCCTCGAGGAAATCCATGCTCGAGGTTTTGACCTCTCCGATGAGATAGCCCGAGCCAAGGTGCTCGAAGACAGGAAACTTGCCTCCTCCGATGACGAAGACGGTGATGAAGAAGGCAGCCGAGGAGGATCCGATGAGGGGCCTGAAGGAGATGTTGCTCCCGGAGAAGAGGTCGAAACCGGCCGTAGTTAGGACTTTGTCTCATGTACATAACCTTTTTTATACTAGAAAAACTTCTTTTGAATGTCTTCTAAGTTTTATGTTCAAATGTGTTTTGTGCTTTTGCCTTGTGAAAATTTTGTTGTTACAGCCTCTGTAATCGAGTGAACACTAGTTCGAACTTAGAACAAACCCTTAGGTTTTTTAGACACGCAAGGCGAGTCCCCGAGCTTAATAATATGTTCGAGATTTCGGATGGCTTGATTGATGCCATGACTGCACTCTTTTTATAACTAAGTTCGAGTATGTTTCGAACTTAGAATAGAACAAACCCTTAGGTTTTTTTATCAAATAATGGGTAATTTTTGAACTTATAGTAACATACCCCTTAAGGTTTTATGAAGGATCCTTGAGCTAAATTCAAGTCAACTTTATTTGAACTCGGAATAGTGGAACCCTTAGGTCCGAGTTGAGTGAGAACAAAGTCTCAAACTCTAAATGTATTGGCCCTTTGGCGCTTTTAGGTTAGGCCCATATGGCCTCTAAAAGGCGACTATTATTTTCCCCTTTTGGCTTAAAAGACTTAGTAAAAATTGCTTTATGCCTTATCATGTATTTTTTACCCATTGAGCTATTTGAGGGTCCGATGTCGGTTGAAACTCTTTTGCTTTTTGTGCCTTAGCACATTTGTGTTAAAGATAATTTGATACCTCTTAGGTTTTTAGAGAGCTGATTTTATGGAAGCCCTGTTGATTATTTGCCGAGGGTAGCCTTTTGTAACCGATTTTTCAAATAATTTGAAGGCCTATCGATATTGCAGAATTCGGACGTCTCTGAGCCGCGTTATTTAGGCCGTAGCCTTTAGGTAAGTATTTTGGCCGTAGCCTTCGAGTATGCTTCTTGGGCTTATTTCTCAATAACATTTCGAACTTGTTCGAAATGTCAGTCCCCGAGAATGGTGGCCTTGGCCTATAGATCGAGGGTTGCCTCTTTGAGGTCTTATGAATTTGAGTTTAGATAATTTGAAAATGCCTATCATCGATGGTAGTCCCCGAGTGTATATTTTCACTTTGGCTCTTGAGCCGTTTCTCACAATATCATAAGTATGGGGTTTGTATAGTAGAGAATTTTCTTCGAGACACAAAATGTTTAAATGAAGAGAGAATGCTTCTTTGAATAGTTTATACATGCGCACATGTTTTGCGATCGTGGCTCGACTTATTTATATGGACACGGTTTACTTGACCGTTTGGCCCATTACAAAGCTTCCCTATTGAGGCCCTTTGACATGAAGTACTATTCTCGAGAATACAACATCTCAGGGTGATGCCCCCCAGTATTCGAGGTTAATTGCAAAGAAGCCTTGGATACTGTTGAGTTGTCCTCAGGTAGAACATAATTGTTGCCTCATTAAAAACCTCACCGGAAAAACCCATTTGGGATAAAAACCGATTTAAGGGGAAAAGAGTGCAACGCATACTTTAAAACCCGAGGTCTCGATGTCTTTGGTCAAACTCCTGCAATGAGTTAGCGTCGAATATATATAAACAAAATAAGGGAGAAAGTCATACCTTAACAATAATATCGTTTGAGAAGTGATATGTTCCAGTTGTTTGGCAGTGGTTCGCCGTCCATCGTTCCGAGTTTATAAGACCCTTTTCTGACTATATCGTTCCCTACCCTTCCTTAGGATCTCGAGTGTTGATGGTGACCTTCCTTAGGACTAAGTCCCCGACCCTAAAGTGGCGA